ATGTCAAATAGAAGCTTGAAGCTAAAGTGATTCAATTTCCGTTCGTAAAGTCCGAGGATCAATTGGCGGATATTTTGACAAAGGCAATTTTCAGTAGAGCGTTTCACAATTCACTGGATCAGTTGGGCATTGACGACATCTATGCACCAACGTGAGGGGGAGTGTTGGCGTGACTTGTGGACTCATAGTTAATTTCCTTACACGTCAAGGTTTCCTATATTCAATGTAATTGATTTACTTTAGTTATTACTTTCCTTGACCTACAAGGGTTTATTGTATTATAAATACAACCTCCTAAGAGCAGAAGAATCCATAGAAAATTTCCACAAACAATATTCACTTATACATTTCATATTTTGACACATTTGCCACCAAAGTAATTTCGAACCTAAAAAAGATTAGAATTACAAGTCATGGCGCAGGATTGGATGAGATCTGCTTCCTTAGGACACAAAGGTATATATATATATATATATATATATATGGTGACGAAGAAATAACATTACCAGAACATGAGAACTTTTAGATTGTCGACAAACAGATAATCTTTGCTGTAGCTTGGATTATTTATACTATAGTATAGCTAGCCGGTAGTTTAGCCTGAACACAAAAAAGAAGGTAATAATAATAATAAAATAAACAAAATCTTTACAGTAAAGATTAATAGGACATGTCATATAAGACCTTTTCTTTTCCAATTTTGTGTGACATTCTCATATTAAATTCTACCGTCGTCGTTATGCAATGATATAGTGTGCATATAAAATATCTCACATAGATTGAAAAAAGAAATGAAAGAAAAATCAATCGGTTTAATAAGTAAAATGATTAAGAAAAATTAGATAATGGATCCTCTTTTTATGGAACACAACTACCCATTATCTTTTTTAATTCTAAAATAAATTTAAATTTTTTTAAAAAATGTCTCTCACAGGCACGGAAGCGCGTGCGAAGAGGCTAGTAATAAAATAAACAAAATCTTTACAGTAAAGATTAATAGGACATGTCATATAAGACCTTTTCTTTTCCAATTTTGTGTGACATTCTCATATTAAATTCTACCGTCGTCGTTATGCAATGATATAGTGTGCATATAAAATATCTCACATAGATTGAAAAAAGAAATGAAAGAAAAATCAATCGGTTTAATAAGTAAAATGATTAAGATTAAAAAAAAAATGTGTGCACATAAAATATCACATGTTACTTTATAAATATTCTTTTTTGGGACCAAATTGCTATAACCGTATATGAAGCTCAACCTATGCTGGATTGATACGTCCAAAACTTGCCCTTCCCGCAGATTTTGACGTTTTGTTTGCATTGCTATTTGATTCACAGACAACAATCCCTTGCCAATCTCGTGACCTTTTGGTCACCATCTAAGCAGTGTTTTAATAAATTTGTCACTTTAATTATAAGTGCGCTTATTAAAATCGTTTGCCGAATAATGTAGCAGTGTTTTAAATTCGAATTCACTCTAAACATCATTTATTTTTTATCGGAAACGAAGAATACAATATTAGCATTATTGTAATTATATTAAGTTAAGCAAGATACAAATCACATGACCCAATCTTGAACCCCAACCCACCATCCCTAAATTGTGCAAATTTTGAGTGTACTTATTGCTTGCAACAAAAGCAGCTTACATTAAAGCCGTGGACCAAACATAGCAAATCCATGTTATGCCACCCAAATTGTATGCGAATCACAACACATGCAAAGGTGCAAGATATCTTAGAACGTGGGGGCCCCATATTACAATCACAAATTTTTCCCACATGTAATCACATGATGGGTATGGCATGCCATCACAATTGTCACAGCAAATCGCCAGAAAAAAAAAATATCCCACGTTCATTTCAAGAAAATGACACTATTTAATCCACCATTAATCCATCTTTCTTCCCTCTTAAAAGGTTTGAAATAAAAGGGAAAAAAAAATCATTGCCCAACTCAAAAATGCAATCTTTTTAAATTAAAAATGAGATGTGTCACAAACCCACTAAACCAATGAGGATATGTAAAGTCCTAACTCAAATTGTTGAGGCTATTTTGGTAATAATGAATAAATATCTTTTGTTTTTTTTTTACCTGTTTTTGTTTTCTGTTTTATTATAGTTGAAATAAAAAGAAAAAAAGAGAAATTATTTTTTAGTTTTTAGTTTTATACATTTTCCTTTCTCTTCTTTGGCCTCTATCATCTCTCATGCTCCCTCCTTTCTTTAACTAAAAAACCAAAAACAAAAAGCAAAAAAAAAAATACTAAGACACTAATTCCTAACCAATCTTATATATAGACAACATAAGCACTAAGCATCAACAAAAAATTCAAAACACTTGAGAACCAAACCAGAACTTGCTCTCAACATCATCAATGGCAGAGCTAGAGAACCCAATAGTGATGACCAAGATCATCACATTCCTCTCATCACTGGTTCAAAGGGTGGCTGAATCAAATGACATCAATCCATTCCAAACCCAGAGAATCTCAGTCTTCCATGGCCTAACCAGGCCCACCATTTCAATACAGAGCTATTTGGAGAGGATTTTCAAGTATGCCAATTGTAGCCCATCTTGCTTAATTGTTGCATATGTTTATCTGGATCGGTTTTCTCAGAGGCAACCAACTCTGCCCATCAATTCGTACAACGTTCACCGGTTGCTGATTACTAGTGTCATGGTGGCTGCAAAGTTCATGGATGACATGTAAGTGTGTTGAAGTTGAATTTTATTAGCTTATGATGAGCATTTGTTTGGAAAATCTCTTTGGATTTGAACTTCTGGTGTTTTTGAGTACTTGGAAATTTTTTGTCAAAGTTATTCGGACAAGTTTTGGAATATTCTGTTTCCTGCATGAATGTGGATGGAGATTGGATATGAATTCATTGGGTTTTTCTTTTCTGAGTCTTACCTTATTAAGTTTGCTGTGTCTCTGAGCTATAGAATTCTCACTGTTTTCTGATCCGGGTTTGCTTAATTTCTTGCTTTGGTATCTTCATAAATTCATAATTTCATAAAGCTCTGTAATTACTTGGAAAAAGTTGGAGGTATAAAACCTTCTGATTTGGAATGATTCTGAATATATAAAACCTCAGAGACAGAAAGTTTTAATAGGTGTTAGTTGGATTGGCCTAGGCCTTTGACTTCAAGCTCCCGTAGTACTCATGTGTGTGAGTTTTACCTTCTCTCCCCCTTCCCAACTTCGATCACAAAAAGAAAAACTTTTGCAAAAGGCTTGTAGCTAAAGTGGTTAAGAGCATTTACCCCTCCCCCGATGTCCTAGTCTCTTCCTACCTGGCTAATTATGTTTAACTAAAAATCCAACTAATCTCAGCCATGTGCTACCATGGCTTTCCTATATACATGGAGTGGAGAGTCCACCAAGATGCACATGGTGACATAATTTAATAAGTTTGATCACATAACATGATGAAGAAATATGGCTCATAGAAAAGTTTCTGTAATGTGAAAGCTATTTTTGTAATGGGATCCATTTGCTGTAGATTTATTGCCAGAATTAACTAATTTCCATTTTCATAAATGTGCTGTAATATTCAGGTACTACAACAATGCTTATTATGCAAAAATTGGAGGGATCAGCACAATAGAGATGAATTTTCTTGAAGTGGATTTCCTATTTGGTTTGAGCTTCAACTTAAATGTGACCCCTTCAACCTTCACCACCTACTGCTCCTACCTCCAAAGAGAAATGCTCCTCTTGCAGCCTCCTCTAGATTCTGCAGATTCTTCTCTTAGTTTAGGCAAATCACTAAAGCTCCATTTGTGCTTCGATGAGGAGGAAGCCTCCCATCAGCCACAGCAGCTAGCTGTTTGATTAAAGCTTTAAAGGGTTGTTGCCTTAAAAAAAAAATAAAAAAATAAAATTGTAGTTGTTGAGGTAGTATTTTCGTACTTTGCCCATATTTTTTGGGCTGGCAATATGAACATTAGATATTTCTGTCCTTTTTTTTTCCTTTTTTTTTCCTTTTTCTTTTTTGGGTTTTGTAATTGAAGTTATTTGGCATGTTATGTACAGATGGGTCTTAAATTTCCAGTCTGGAAAAGCAATGCCTCTAAATGACTTTTATTTTTTTCTTCCCCAAAGTTGGGAAAAGGGAGGGAGGAAAACTCACATACACGGGTACCATAGGATTTAGAATCTAGGACCACTTGATTCAATCCAAATAGCACTCCATTGTTCCTCTAAATGGCTTGTTTGGTTGATACTTGTTCTTATCCACAAATTTTAGTCTCTTCTTGACTTATAGGTTGCCACAAGTGAAAAACATAGGTGGCCACTGGCCACGCAAGACAATTTGCTCATACTTGGTCACAATTTGGAAGGAATATGAGTGGTGGGTGTGAAAGCTAATTTGGTGACATGGGTAGGACCGGTGAACGTAAGAATAGTTCCTGTACACAGAGTACTGTTTTATTTTATTGCAGTCATATTTGGTGTTGACAGTTGTATTGATCTTGAGATGGGAACAAGGAACATGTGCAATCATGGGCCACTCCACTGGTTGGGGGGGAGAGAGAGAAGTTTAGAAATTAGTTCTGAGTTGTAGAATTTGACAGGCTGGCTTAGAAATCATAAGAATGTTGTTCATATAATGTTTTCTTTTCCAACATGGTTATATTGTCAAGACTGTTAATTTGATATGTATAGTATAGATATTAATGTTTTGTTTTTTCAAACCGTTTAACATGTTGTGTTGTCAAACTATTAATCTGGACGACATTTGAATAAAAATTCATATCATCTAAACAGAGAACATTCCTTGGCATGTGCAAGCAAAGTGCAGAGAAGTTAACATAAAACAAGCATGGCTCGCGGTCATAGTTCTTGTCTGGAAACTGAGAGATGCGTGATGCTTGTCCTTGGCCAGTTAGTTGTATAATCACTAGAAAATCATCCTTGATTTTGATAACACTATAAAATCTGAGCTGGGATACATTGCAATTTGTAACTCCTGCCTCCTCTATTTTGTAAATACTCCTAGAAAACCCATTTCAACTACATACATTAAATCCATGTGGCAACCCAACCCTGCTCATGGACTCAGCTACACACACACAGCAAATTGACTACACAATACATTGACCATCAGCCTAAGAAAAAAGTACGAATTTTCTTGTTCACCACATGTTGTATAACCATATGTTTATCTCTCTCATCCTGTAACTAACACGATAAGATAAACCAATATGGTTGTACACAATCAGTTGTATCTAAAAATGATTCATAAAATACGACACACATTTCGGTTTATACATCTTGAAAACTTGGATGGAAAACCTTATTATAAAAGGCAGAGCAGCTGCAGTCAATACGTAACGAAACCGGACAGACTCATCTGGGGTCACAGCAAACACTGCAGAACCATAAGTCACAATCATAGACACTGTGGCAACCAAGACCTCCAAATGGAAAGGGAACTTGTAAGTAAGCGATATGATTATAAAGATGGCGGTGGAAAGAGCCAAGGTGTTTGATATCAAGAACACATAAAATGGTGCTTTTTGAGTTGCATAAATGGCCCTCCCTGCATAGCGGCCATCTTGCCAAACACCTCCGGGAGGATTGACGCCGGCTTGGAAGGTCACTGCAGCGATCAGTGCTGCAACTACTAGCAAAACGTTGCGTGCATCACCTGGAGAATCTTGTCCTTCATCGTATTGGAAGTTCTTCCACCAATTCCACCCTGGTTTTTTTGGTGGGTTTGGGGCATCCGCCATTTTTTTTTTATATGAAGCTATCTATCGATGATGTATAAGACTCGGTTTCTAAGGTGTCTATATAAATAGCCTGTGGTGTTGCTAAATGAGTTGCTGCATCAATCACTGGGTTTTAGGTTTCATTACTCTGGTCAACGTCATTACTCGCCTGCCGTTCAAGAGAACATTCAAACGGTATTTCGTGTTTCATTTGAAAAATAAGGTTTGGTGGGAGTCAAAAACGGTGAGCAATGTAACATACCAAATGCTACAGACAGCAAACAGTAAACATCAACGCGTTATATAATCCAACAAGTTAGAGGTTCAGATTCCTGGATGGTTCAGAGACTTGGACATGTTTTTGTTTTTGTTGAGCAGTTCAAAGTCAAAATAACAACTGTCTACAAATAACAAAAGCAAGGTAGAAAGCTACCTTAATTCATCCATCTTCTCTAACAAAAGTAGTGAAGGAATATCTTCATGCCAAGCTGAAGTAGGAAGCAAGTCAATCAATCATTTGCTTCTATTACCTTAGTTCAAATGAAGAAGCATCAAGGAAGAGAAGTAGACGTTTCTTTTACATGGGTACATGAAATTCACGGTAGCAGCTTTAAAGTGCAGAAAGGGGGAAAGTAAAAATTGGGTACTTCGACCAAAACGATAAAAAATATCGGCTACATGAAACTGTGGCTACACTAGGTCGCACAAGCACGCAAAGCCTAATATGACCGTTGATGCATTGTGCTCCCCACGTCCATCAACGGTCAAGATCAATCTCTATGCGTGTGCCCTGCTGGAAATATGTCTATTGAGCGAGTCAAAGCTCAGGAACAAGGGTTAGAATTCCCTGTTTAGGCATCCCTTTTAACAGGAAAACAACTTTTTTTAAAAGAATAAATAAGCCCTAAACCCTAAACCCTATGTTATGAATAACAAAAATAAGCCAAAACCCTACTTCATTCATCCATATTCTTAAATTTTCACATAAACGTCCATTTATACCTCAGACATCAATGTAAGGAATCTCAAAGGACAACATTAGCAAGTGTACTTTGAGAGGGAGGTGGTGTGACAACAATATCAGTATGCAGACAACTGGAAATCAGCTCCACACTAGCTAACATCGCATGCACTACTGAGGAATGCGCAGAATTGAGTTCAAAACATCAAGTTGCCTAAAATCCTAATTGCAGACTCTTCCCTTTTGAGCTCCTTTTCAGAATCAAGCTGCACTAACCATAAAAATAACTAAATAACGTAGCGGTAGGTGATATATCGTCCTGCAGTCTCACTTGGTCGGACTATCTTCACAACTTGTCCACGCTTAAGCCCATAATATTTTGCAATTGGATCGGTCACCTGAATTCGAGGAAGCTGGACTCCATCCACCCAATATACGCACACCAAAGAAACAATTTAGTGTACAAGTAGCCAGATAAGTACAGACTAAGATGTGTTTAGAACACAACCATGAAAAATCTCCAAAGATGAGAAAAAAAGTTAGCTATTTTGTCATAAAATGAGGTCACGCCATGTCTTACGTAGCATCTAAATTTCTTAAATGCAATATTAACAACACTGTTCAGCACTGACCTGTGTTTCTTTCACAGTATACCTCTCCAGTAAAGTCTTCTTTTCCTCAGTTGTAAGCACCAGATGCTCAGGAACTAGCACATGCTCTTTAATATTCACCAACAATTCTGCCTCCTGAATCAATAGAGTTAATGAAAGAAAACGTTAATATCCACTAACACATTATTCTCATGTTGCAATTGTATTTATTTTATAGACTAAGGTGGAGACAACATGACTGGAAAAGAAAACATCTACAAGCCAAGCTGAAGTGAAAGCTGTATTCCCAGGAAAAGTAAATCAAACAATGCAAAGTAGTTATTCAAGACAGACCTAGTTTAAGACAGACCTAGTTTTAGGCATCTCGGTTAATTAACATTATCCAATCCATCACTCTAAAGTGTAGGGTAATACTTATACAATTAAGAGCATTTGATCAAATAAATTGTCATTCTTTAAAAGGCCCTTGCAATATAAACAAACTAAGCAGGCTATGGTGGTAACAGTGATCTTTCAGTGTATCGACTTCAATTTTCTGATACTAAGACATGCCCAAGTAAGAATTCCGATGTTTCTGATAGGTAAGGATTAATAGATTATAGTGATATTCAGGAGATTTCGAGAACATTTCATTTTAACCAAAATCTAAGCAATGAACGTCACCTGAAAAACCTCCAAGTGGAACTTTGAAGATATCTCACTGATACAGGTCTTTGCAAAGGGAGTCAGATTTTGTTGAGTAACCAAGACAGCTCTGAGCACATTCTCCGATTTCATGCGGTTAGTATAAGTCTTCATTGTCTTGACCCCAACCTTTGGTTCTTCAGGAAAAAAGACATAAATCTGAAACACAAGAACCAACAATTAGAGACGGATAACACTACATCCACTGCAATAAAAAGCATCAGGGACACACCTGATCAGAGCTATCACTTCGCTTAGTTTTATTGATAGTAAGGTCTTCCCTTTTCATGTTTTCGCCATATTTGCTCTTGAACTGTTCTCTTGTCATGTTGATCTCAAAATCTCCAACTAAGTAATTCCGATCTTTCAGCATTTGCATCACTGTCCTTCGAACTCTGTAAAGCCTCGTGATTTCTTCTTCGGGGTAAACCATCTTTGTCACTGATAGAGTACAAAAATTAGCTTGGTAGTTAGATTTCTTTGGGATTATGAAAATTCAATTTCGCAAATGACTACAAAATCTACAGTTACACATGTAGCTACCAAAAGCTGCTTTCCTATGCAATTGAAAACGAGACTGGTTATCGAATCACAGCCAAGCAACAACGAAATCAACTTAAACCAAAACAAAATTCAACAATTCCATTAACTTTTCTACACAAAAAGAAAAGGCCTCTGCTCTAGAAACCTTAGAAACGAGGACACTAGAGATGAATCAAGGTGATTAGGGCATTTGATCAAGTAAACAAGAAAGAGTGCATCAAAGGCTTTCCGAAAAGAGGGGAAAACGAACCAACCACAGTTACAAAGTAATACATTAAATCAACAAACCAACCACAGCTAACAAGTACTTCAAGAAGCAGATGGAAAGTAAGTGAAGGAGGCAGACGCAGTCGAGAAGAAAGTGAGCTAAGACTAAAAAAAATTAATTGAAGAAAAAAAACCTCGTGGAGCAGAAGCAGTCAAGAAGAAGAGGCTGAGCCTGTTACCGCCAAAACCTGGTGCAGCAGAGGCAGTTGAAAAGAAGGTGAGAGACCAAAACCAATTGATATTTATGCAGGACACAAATTGCTCTGTCAAATGACAGATACAATCAATCACAGGGGATTTGTCAAAATTGCAAACTCCAAAACTACACATCTTTCTCCAAACAAAAAGAAAAAACAGAGCATGACTTTGCTTTGACATGGCCAACAGTGTCAGATGCTCTGTTTTCTGTAATTTATTGTTGGTATTTTATTCATTTTAGAGTAATTGGTCTCTCTATCTCATATAAAGGAGAAATTGCTCTGCTGGTATAATTTTTAGAAATTGCTCTGCTGTACCTTCTATCCAAATGGTAACCTAGTATGACTTTTTTGGCAAAATTTTTATAAGAAATGGAAACCTTATAGCTACAAAAGAAACTCCACAGCAAGCATAAAACAAATACTAATCTGAAGAATAAAATAGCAATGCAAATTCTGTTTTTTTCTTTTTAATTTCACACCATCTACCTATAACATTACCACAATGACATGAGCAAACAAAAAGGCCCAAATCTAGATTTGCTGTACCTTCTATCCAAATGGTAACCTAGTATGACTTTTTTTACACAAATTTTATAAGAAATGGCAACCTCATAGCTACAAAAGAAACTCCACAGCAAGCATAAAACAAATATAATCTTCCTCTGTGTAATCTTTTAGCACTAAATCACCAACCAAGAAAAAAGAAAATTGGCAGATCTAGGTAGTGCCAGAGTTAAGACAAAGGCCTGCAAATAATGACAATGGGGAAATAGGGAAAAATAAAAAAAAAAGAAAGAAAAAAAGGGTAGAGACATTCTTATGTTAGTTAATCTAATTTGATACAGTTTGAGAGAATACAGAATCTCATTTACCCAAAATGAGAACTTAACTTAAAGGAGACGTTCTAAGGAGAGCCTAAGTTGAGGCTGCACTTCAAAACTTACACCTCAACTGTGAGATTATATATGTGGTGTCTGAAAATAGATGATGATAGGCAAGATGCAGCCATTTGACATGTTAACGTACCTATTAAAAGTCTCCAATCAACACAACTCATGGAAATACAAGAAATCCTCAGTCCAGCCACCAAGTGCCATAGAAAGATATTCAGAAGGTTTAGTCATGACTAAAATCCTATTGAATATAGTCACACATGAGACTGGTATGAATTGCGTACATCAGAAAAGAAACATCTTGTTTTTATTAAGATGAAATAAGATGAAAGGAGAGCATCTTATTTAAAAACTGAAACCACAAGGATGCATCATCCCACATGAACCACTAAGTTCAATAAACTCAAGATTCATGCCAAAAGTCTACTCTAAACTCAAGATTTTGAATTTCTAGGCTTTCTTAAATACCCATTGCAAATTAATTGCCAATTAACATCAAGTATATACATGTCGCTACAGTAGATATGGATTCTACGAAAATTAGAGAAGAGAAGAAGCAAAAAACAGAGAAAAGGAAGGAGAGATTCAGAGCACACAGTCAAAATTGTTGAGGACAATTGCAAAAATCAAAGAGGTGGAAGAAGGAAAAGAGAGATATCAAAAGGGAAAGACCAGAAAAACTTGCCTGGGTCAAGATTCGAAGAAGAGGTGGAGTCGCGAACGAGAGAGAGGGCGAAGTCGCGAACCACAGAGAGAGGCGGAGTCGCGTGTTTGTGAACCCCTTTTCAGCTTCCCTGTATAAGGAGAACGAGAGTTTCTTTCTTCTTTCTGCTTCCTTCTGGTGCCGCCAAAACTTTTACACTGGAAAACCTAGCATCTGTCGTGAAGAACAGGCTAGTGTGATTAAATCAAGTTTGAAATTTACATTTTGACCCCCAATTTTTGTATAAACTTTAGAATTACCACAAAAGTTTCCAGATATTTTCAAAATAACCCCGCACCGTATCTTG